AGGTTATACTTTTGTTATTAAGCAACGTGACATAAAAGCCATTGTTGGAATGTAGTTTTACCAAAACGCAATGGCTTTTCTATATATTAGAAGCTTGATTTCGCAAAATTTATTTATTTTAGTTAGCTATGAAATGTGAGGTTAAAGTATACTAAGATGGTAGTACTTGTCCCGTATTTTTGACGGGCTATACGCTTGTAAATACATAATATGCGCTTACTGATATAAATACGTAACTAAATTTTTCTACTTATTTAAATACGTAACTAGATGTACAGACTTCTCGCTATGTGCATGCACTACAGATAGTTACCTGATGTTACTCATGGGTTCTTGACAAACTAAATGTAAGTAGCAAGCAGAAAAACAACAACAAAAAATAGGTATATATGTCACAACACAATGGTAAAACATCTCCAGAAACCCGACTAGAGAGAGAAAGTTTAACAGAAATCAAATAATACCTATCTGAAGTCAGTTCACGTGTGTGGATGAGGTGAAGTGTTTACAGGATGTAGAGAGAACGTATCCGGACCATAAACTCGAATTGCTGTCGCGAAACCGCCTTTTCAGGTACTTTACGACATTGGCATTTCTCGCTAGAATGACTCTCCTAATCCAAAATAAATCTCAACTGTTGGCAGGAAAGTCGCAGAAATATGGAAAATATCACATTGTTCTAACATTCCCACTCCGAGTTCTTAAAGCTACATAAATCTCGAGAGAGTTTCGGAACTTCAAATTGGCCAGCCACACTTACACACACAGCATGTAAATCACCTTATCAACAACTCAGGAGGTGACCAATTCAAGATTTGTCATCGCCTATTGCACTGTTTGGACCCGCCTTGTCTTGTCGCGTGGCGAAATTTACCACCAACATAGCAAGGAACCACCTTGTTAATCATATACTAAGGTTAAATCTCCCACCCCCTACAAATTCTTTGCTTGGTACAGTGGTATGTTTGAGGACTTACAACGCTAGAAACCGGGTTTCGATACCCGTGGTGGGCAGAGCACAAATAGCCCATTGTGTAGCTTTGTGCTTAACTTCAAAAGAAACATTAAACATGTAAACAATACATCTTACACGACTAGTCCTACTAAAGCTATAGCAAAAATAAACCATTAATATCTTACAGGTGAGGGAACATAATTTCTGATGGGCTCTGGGACGAGCAACTGTAGTATATACTATTTTGAATATGCGAACGTAAGTCTTTTACGAGTTTACAGAGTCATGACAACCCAAAGAAACCCGACAAGAAACTGACGAGAAGGAATATGCATTTCGTAATACCGCGAACAGCACGGCTCGGGTTGTTTGTAACACAGGTATGAACGCTGAGTGTAAGCGTCTAGTGAATATGGGCTGACTGGTATTTTGGTATTGGGGAAAACATGAAGCACATAAAAAAGAAGATACTGTTTCGGAGATAACATAATTCAGGGCGCAGTCATAGATCGTTTAAAATAAATTAAGAACTCTGTTGTGCAAAGAATGAATTTGGACTTAAATCAAATACAAATTTTACTTGTAGCAGTCATAAGAACGCAAGTCTATATCATCATAAATACTGAATAAACGAGACGGCTTTTATACTGAAACAAAATAATTGAAATTTAAATCGCAATTATGTGGAATTATGTGGAAAAGATATCGCATATTAGGTGATGTGATACTGATCAAGGTGTAAACATACCGTAAAATCATAATAGAACTTGATTGTTTACCTGTTAAAACTAACCAATAAAATATTTCAAGTATACTTTCAGTCCTATGGCACAAAATATAATAATTAACAAAGTACGCTGTAACAGACTTTCTTTACTTTTGGATGGTTTCAATTTGAAAGTTTGTGGTCCCAATGCCATGCCAAAACCTGTGATACTTAACCGTTTCAAGATAAAAGAATTGTGTAAATCACTTACTATTAGATACCTGGACAACAAAAGAAAAAAAAACGTTTCTACAATATTATCTCACTTTTTACCAGATTTTTGAGAAACGTATGACTAATATCATAATAAAGCTTGGTTTGTTGTTATACACGTCATGCAAAAAGAACATACGACATTCATCAAATTTGTACATAAGTAAAATTGTTTTATTAAAAAATAGCCGTATGAACTGAGATTTTTAAATACTGGATTAAGTTTGAACACAATATTTAAAAACACTGTATTTTCAACTTTAAGTATAAAAAAAACATCAATAACACTGAATTAAATTACTAACGTACTTTACCTAATGACCTTTTACTAATAAAAATACTTGTAAATTGTATTTTTACAAACAAGTCCATTTCAAATAACGCTTAAAGCACAGATTAATTAGTAATAAACTATAAGTTGTTAGAAATATTGCTTATTGCTTTTTATTTTATACTGTATAAAATAGGTCTCTGTGTGTGGTAATTTGAAGGGAGAACACTTAGAAAGAGATTCCTAGTTAAATATACTTCCCACAGGGAGCCAAGTATAAAATAAACAATTCATAAATAGCTTATATATCTGAAGATATACTATAGACAACAAGGGTTGATAGAAAGATGTTAATAGTATATCTATGAAATGGGTATATAAACAAAACAAATAACTAGATATTTAAATTGGTCAAAGGACAGAATGACAGAAATGAATAAAAATATAAAACAGATAGATCTATAGCCACATAAATGTATAGACAAAGATACAAAACGTCCACCATCAGGTACATAGTATAGATGTTATTGAACGTATATATATATAGTTTATTTTAACATTGTGTCAGAAATTAGGTTTTAATTAAAACATTATTAACTATTTTTAACTTAATATAGAATTAATAAATTAAGATACATTATATTATAGTATAGCAGTTACAAGAACATAATGAGTCGTTTTTACCTGTGTAATATGTCAAAAATAATACACTATATACAATAAAACTAAGCAAATATTATATATATATATATATATATATATATATGTCAG